GGTGACACTTGCCCGTTCAGACCGGTCCGCTCGCGAGCGCGTAACTTGAGCGGCACTCGTGCGGGCTTAGTGGAGCCCGCGGGGAAAGGGGAGCTTCGCTCCCGCCCGCTTTCTGTAAACGGGGTTGAAACTTAAGCACGCTGTCTCGGTTTTAGCGGAAGACGCCCCTGTTCTTTTAATGACGTCCAGAAGTCATTTACGGTAGGTGCTAAGCATAGTCTAGCAGTGGTCTTATTTGTGGAGCGAGGAGAGGGAAGGAGCCACCTGCGTGTTTTGGAAGCAAGTGCTGGGCTCTTAGATCTCTGGGGGTTATATGCCTATATGCGCACGCACATGCATATGTATACGTGCATAATTGAATTTAGGGCCTCACTTTTCACTTTTCACAGGAAAGTAGGCAGAATTAACTACCTAATCCTATAACTATAACGCTTGTAAAACTTTAGTAGCCGTTGAGTAGCCCTGGTGGCATCCAAGTTTTCCTGTGGTTGCTTACTCAGCCTTGGCAGAGCCGAGCAGCTCAGGGCCGAGTTCGTGCCCAGCCGTTGCTGCTATCTGCAAGCAGGGTGTTTTCCCCCGGTTGCGTTCTAGCAGCCGCGCGCTGGTCTCGTGGGTGCGTGGAGTACGCACCCGTTCTGCACGCGGGCTAGTGGCAGGTGCCCCGTTTTTTTAAAAATGGCAAACCAAGGCCTCCCTTGCTGCAGAGAAGCCCCACAGGAAAAGAAGCTATGTGAGACCTGTCTTCCTTTCCACTTCCTGTCCAAGAGGGTTTCAGATCACGTTACCCACCTAACAGGATAGTGGCCTAGGCAGGAAGATGTAAGCAGTTCAGTTACGGACGCGGGGACGCTCTTTGCCTCTCCTGTTGAAGCTGTTCCACGGTGCAGGACGTGATTAGACCTTCACGGGGTAAGGGAGCAGCGGGGGACTCGCGCTCCTGGCTGCAGCTTTCAGTGCTTGTGTTTGGGTGAGAATAAATGGCTTCCGATCTGTTCTCCAAGGTCTGCTTATGTTTTTTTGAACGAAACTTTACTAGTAACTACACCACTTAGAGTACTGTAGCTTATTTTGCTAGTGGTCATTAGCATAGTAAAACTGGTACAAAATGTGCTGGAGCACATGTACATGTGTTGGTGCTTCTGTACTGGTAATGGATTATTGGTGCAGAGAATACTACGCCATGCTCTTTCTCCTCTGTTTTGTTTGTCTTCCAAACTTTATTTCTGGCAGCTAGCTAATTCTGACTTCTCAAAGAGTAATGTAACAATATAGGTAGTGTTTTAAGTGTAAATACTTGTCGACAAACTCTTTTTTTGAAACCTTGAAGTTAATACAAAATGTTTGGCATCTTAGTGCTTTATGCATCCACTATGAGGCTGCAGACTGTTCATATGTGTATTAATATATGTGTTAATTTATTTTTGGAGGTTGTCAAATGAAGATTTTTTTTTTTGTTTACCCAATAGTTATGTGATGGATGATTCATTTTCTTTGGCATTTGATTTGAGGAAAACTGAGCTAAGTTGTTTCCATCTTCCCAATAGGAGGGTTTTCAGACTGCAAACTAATTCTTTTGTGTGTGTTTCACCTATAGTGGCTCTCTGTACATCCCTCTCGCTTTTAACGCAGAGTTACAGAGGTAACAAAGGATCCTTGCAAATGAAATAATTTTTAAAGATGAGATATTTCTGCTTATGTATTGTAAATAGCTGTCTTGTACCAACAGTCTTCTGTTGCTAAATTTATTTTTCACGATATGTTGCAAAAGGGGATGGTCTGTTAACAGAACTGAGCTCTGTCCCTTCTTCTGACTAGTCAGCTGGTTTCTGTCTAAGGGGAAAAAAAAAAAAAAGAAGTGCATGTAGCTAGTTTGGAATTTGCTGGGCAAACATAGGCTGTTCAGGAAACCCTATGGCTGGGAAGAAGAGAGGTGTTAATGTCAGCGAAGCTCACTACACAAAGGGTGGGATCAGTGAGTTTGGACCAGGAACACAGCCTAGTTGTTTCCCCTGTTTACTGATCTTTGTTCCAGGTCGTTCTGCAGCCTCAAAATGCTGCAGCATTCAGATTATGAGAAAAGGATGGGGAGGAGGTGTTCGTGAAACACTTTCAATTTTATTTATTTGTTGATTTCACAGAAAAATGTTTAGTGTTTAAGCTTAATATTTTTTATATAAGGGGAAAAAAAACTTTTGAAGAAAAGAACAAACTTCTTTAAAGAAAGAATTCAGGTTCTTCTAACAACCTTTCCATGGTTCAGTTGCAGCATTTGCAACAGAGTTTGTTGATAAAAGTACAAGTTTGATATTGAAGATGTTCAAGAAGTAGATTTTTATTTGCTCATCTTTTTAATAGATGTGTGTTTACCCAGCAGGAAAAGAAATCAAAAAAGGTAAACCAAAAAAGAATCATTTTATTTTATGCTGTTTCATTTTCAAACTACTTCCTTATTTGAAGGCCATTGATTAAACCAGAATGATTCGATTGCCTTTGGCTTAGTGCTATGTAACAAACGTTCTGCAATTGCGTTGTTCATTAGTTCTCGCAAGGGTGGGATTTCCTGACACTGGCTTTATCGCTCTCTGAAATCACTGTGGTATATTTATTTTAATTTGAAACATACTTTACAAAGTATTGATTTGATGAATCCAAGTTTCGGTAGACGTTTTGGGTAAAAAGAAGGAAATCTAGATCTCATCCTATTTTTAATGTCGACAGCACACGCTGACTTTTCGTTTTAGTAGTCTGCTGCATTTGAGTAGCTATATCATAGCGCATGAAGCTCAGTCGTGCAGTCTGCACCATTAAAAATCATCATGGGGTACTGCATGTCCGGAACTGTAATCTGTGAACCTCGGTTCCTAATTAAGGAGGAGGACAGCTGAAATAGAAATTAAAGTAAATTAATTGGGTGTGGTCTTCCACCTCCTGAGCTGCTGAAGGATGTTGGAAAGCTGAGTTCGAATGCCCTCCTAGTTCTTTATGATAGTGTGGCAGCTTCTGTTGGGTCTGTATGAAGCCTCAGTTCAGAGCATTAAAGAACAGTGCTTTTAATATTAAGTATATTGTCCGCTCTGTGGAAATGTATGTTAGGTCTTTAATTCTTCCTTCATGCTGGGAATAGAAGAAGTGTATGTAAAGATTCATAGTCTTGCTCTCGCATTGAAGAAATGTAGAGTAGTGCTAGTATAACAAAACTTGTTTGAATTAATTCAAAGAGGTTACTTTGAAATTAGGGTGTCTTGCTGGCTTGGAATAAGCTTTTTTTTTTTTTTTTTTTTTTACTGAGGATTTCGAAGAATGCATTTCTGAACTGTTTGGAAGTTTTCTTGTTTATATACTCATCCTTGTGTTTGCATTGTCTTACTGGACTTTCCCTCTGTTAGAAATTCTTGCATTAATTTGTAGGGACAGGGAAATTTCAGATTTAATATAGGGAGCTTACAGAACAAGTTTGCCTGAGTTGTTAATGAAGTAAGCACTTATGCCCTTGAACAGGTAATAGCCTGATGTTGATGTAATTACTCTTTTTCTCCACCCTGAATATTAGGTCAAAATGGACTCTGGTTTATTTTAAATTTAGTGAAACCAATAGTTATGTGGGAACGCGCAGTTGCATGCCTTACTGCTTAGCTACAAAAAACTTTCAAATAAGGACGTTCTCACAGTTTGTCCAGCATATTAATTTCAATTTATCTTTCTAAACAGTAGTATAATTAGGCTTAGTTAGATAATACAGGCTAATTGGGCAGAGTTGGAGAGGATAGCTCGTTCAGATGAGCTAGTCTTCATCAGGTCATCTTCAAAGTTTTGAAATGGTAAATTCCCTCTGTTTGCACCCCCTTGTTTTGACTGTCGTTCTGTTGAGGCTTACCTGAGAGACTGAGGAATTCCTGAAAGGGAGAGTA